ACCTACTATATATATATATATATATATATATATATATATATATATGTATGATGTGTGTATCTTTTTTAGCCCATAAAATTTTACCCAAAATCCTTCAATTTGAATCGACTTTTGAGATTAATAATAACGTTGAAAACTTTTAATTAAAAGTGGGTCGATAAAAAAATATTATTTATCTAGAAGTAGTGGCAATGGAAGAAAATACAATTTGTGTTGTGAAATTCAAGCTAATATCAAGAAAATGATTATTATATTCTCAATAATCTAATAGTATTCTGCTTTTTTGTTTTTTGTTATTTATTATATCTTTATTATACAGAAGATATCAATTCAAGTTGTTTGATTATAGAAGAGTGTTAAATTGACAGAATTTTAAGATTACAGCATTAGATACCCCTAAAAAATTGGCACCCCTATGCTATGCTAATTCGCTTAGCGTGTTAAGCTGTCCCTGCCTGCACGTTGAATTTATCGCACGCTGTTACATTAAGATAACATAATTCTTAAAAAGAACATTAAAAACTAGAAAAATATCACCGAAATTTAATGTTTCTCAAAGTTTAACATTATAGATTACTTAATGTCAATTATTTATCATAACCTTAATTTTATTCAAATAAATCGGTCTGGATACCCGTTAAAAAAACGCTTTAACAATTAAATAGTGAACGATACGTGTGTAACGTGAAATATCTAGAATAAATAAATATTAATATTTTTTATGAGATATTTTATGCTTAATGATAATTTGTGCGACTTTTAAACATTTTGTTTTTATGTTTTTGAGTCACGCATCGATTACATAAAATTTTTTTATTTTAACATAAATGAAATAGGACGTTTTTAACTAATTAGTATTTGATGAAAATAATGCTAATAAGTTTGCAATATTTGCATTTTTATTACATGCCATTTAATTTTAAAAATTGAAATTTTTTTTACGTGTATCGTTAAGTCAGTTTTATCCTTCACCTTAAAACTTTCAAAAAACATTTCCGAAGTAAACAAGGAACAGTTCAGTTTAATAACAAAAAATATATTTAAAAAACAAATAAATTTATTATTGAAATAATTTTGAAATTGGCATTGCTCTAGTCCATGAAAGTGAACATATGTTTACTATTTTAATTGAAAAGAACGGAAACTTGTTCATAAATAAAAAAAACCAACTACGTTAAAGAAAGAACATTCATTCTTTGCAGTTAATATCTGGTTTCTATAAACTAAATAATTTCTAAAATATATAACGTGCTGAAACTTTTTTATCTATATTATATTTGTAATCAGCAATCACAAATTAACAAAAATAAATGTTTTCTACGTTAAAGATCCCTATTAAAAGCTTATTC